TGATCACAAATGAACTTTTGCTTGTGGTTCGGGAAGGTTGTGTGTTTCATTTATTATTGATGCTACTATCACTGTTCATTGAATTTGGTGTGTTAATTCAGAGCTTATGAAATTTGGACAGGTTACCTTGGCTTTGGAGCTGGTGGGGCTGACCACGCATGATCACACACCTCACGAACATCACCTATCCTTGTGAAAGCTCTAGGTGAGCCCTTCTGAAATGCACTGTCTTCAACAACACCTGTCCCATGACCTAGGCTCCCTTCTATTCACAGCGCTGGCCTGACCTAACCCTCATCTAGGCACATTCTGATGCCACAGGCCCTGCTCTGTAGTCTACGTCCCTGTTTCTAGCAATAGCACTGCTCATCTCTTAAAAACCTTAGACTGGATTCCATTAGAGTTATAATTTAATCTACCCTCTCCTAAACCCCTTTATTAATCTGTTACCACCTTATTATGCCTATTATCATCTCAAGGTGTTTTTGGACTCCTAAATCCATTCTGTACACAGGCATCGGGTTATTCTCCCTAAAAAGCTACTTTCACCATGTCAAAGCCTGCACACACATTCTTCAACTCCAATTCCTGGTCTCTGTAGCTACAGAAGAACACCTAGGTGCGTTGGCCTGACATTTAAGGCTCTTGTGAGACAACCCAGCCTACCTCCCTGGACTAGTCCACTATTCTCTGCTAACTAGAATCGTCCCCTCCTACTTGTGTGACCTATGAAATACAAACACAAAGCAGTCAAGGTTTCTGCCTCTGGATTTTCATTCAGGCAAATTCCCTGGGATTCACACGCCTGTTTTTCCAAATTTCAATTTCAGACCAAATTCCGGCTTCTTGACAAAGCCCTGCCAGCCCACGATGACTGTCCCTTCTTCCCTACCACACTCAGATCATTAATAGTACATATTTCCTTGTCTTGTGAAATATCTGTCCCTAGCCAGGTCTCAAATTTCTTAATGGCATGGACCACGTCAAGTAATCCTAAAAGTCCAGCGCCATTGCTCAGTGGATGCCTGCAGACAGAGATGTCTGATTGGCTCCTTTACCAAACAAGATCTAAAGGGAGAGGGAAGGCCAAGTGGACCTGCTAAACAGAAGCCAAAGAACCAAAGGGCTGTGGGGCAAAGACTGAAAACAGGATTTGAAGTAGAGGACAGGTCAGAATCAAAGGAAACCGTGTGAAAACACATATGAACCTGGATGATGCTAAACCAGGAAAGGAAACATGGCCAAAGCAGACCAGGGGGATGGGGCGTTAATACACACGAAAGTACAAAGCAGATGGTGAGGGCAGGAGGAGCCCAGAGCCTTTCTAAAGCCAAGGGCAAAATGAAAGCCACTGGGCCTAACTGACAGATACACTGACAGAGTCCTCAGCATTGACAACCCACAACCTTCCTTCCGGTACCTAGGAAACTGTTGCCAAATGTGACCCATGCTGGGACATAAAACAAGTCTCAACTACTTAGAGATTGAAGTTACTTAAACACATTCTCTAAACATAGTGAAATTAAGAAATCAAGAACAAAAGGAAATCTAGAAAATCCCAAGCCATCCCAACATTAACACCAAGCTAGATAACCCTGGGTTAAAGTATTTTACATAAATAATAAAAATAAAACCCATCATAGCATGTTGGATATAGCTAAAGTTACGCTAGAGGGAAATGTATAGGTTGAAATGTATTCATTAGAACAAGAAGGGAGGGCCTAAGGGCAATGCTCCAACCAGCCATTTCAAGAAATCAGAAAAAATAATGTGAATTTCAAAGACAATTGAAGAAAGGTAATAATAAATACAAGATCAGAGGCTAAATGACAAAACAAACATACAACAGAGAAAAATCAAAGTCAAAAGTTTGATTACGAAAAAGCACAAGTTAGTAATACGGGAAATTTAAAAATAGTTCACTACTATAGTTCCTACAGACTTTTAAAAAAGGTTATAAGGAATACCTTCACAACAGTAAATTTGAAAATTTAAGTGAAATAAAACTTTTAAAACATATGACTTACAAAACTGACAATGAAAAAAATATAACTACCCCTATTGCTAATAAAGAAAATGGGCCTAAAATTAAAACCTTCACATAAAGAAAACTCCAGGGGGCCAGCACTGTGGCATAGCCGGTAAAGCCACCACCTGCAGTGCTGCATCCCATATGAGTGCCAGTTCAAGTCCCCGCTGCTCCACTTCCGATCCAGCTACCTGCTATGGTCTGAGAAAGCAGTGGAAGATGGCCCAAGTCCTTGAACCACTGCATCCATGTGAGAGACCCAAAAGAAGCTCCTGGATCGTGGCTTTGGATGGGCACAGCTCTGTCCATTGCAGCCATCTGGGGAATGAACCAGCGGATGGAAGACCACCCCCCCAACTCTTTCTCTTTCTTTGCCTCTGCCTCTCTGTAACTCTGCCTTTCAAATAAAAATAAATAAGTCTTTAAAAGAAAAAGAAAGAGAGAACTCCAGGTCTAAGTGAGATACTGTATCATAAGCATAAAACATCACAGCCAATTTGGATTTACCCCAAATTTGCAAGATTAGTTTGATATCCAAACAAAATCAAGGTAATTATTAGAAGAATAAAACAGGAAAATTAAAAACCACTTCAACAGGTATAGAAAAGGCATTTAATATAATTCAACATAATTCCATTTTTTTTTTCAAATCTTAGCAAACAAGAAAGGGAAACTTCTCCAATAAATAAAACTTCCTAAGTCTGATAAAAAGTATTCATAAAAACTTACAGCAAACTTCATTCTTAATGCTGAAATACTTAAGTTTTCCCTCTGGAAGAATGTAAGATAAGGATGTTTGCTATCACAAATGTTATTCAATTTTGTACTATAAATGGAAAAAAAAAAGAAAAAAGGCTATAACACTGAAAAAAGAAAAGTAAAGCTATCATTATTTGCAAGTGAAATGATCTATATTTAGAAAATCCAAAAGAAAGCAACAGAAATGATTATGAGTCAAAACTGAATTCAGAATACTACCGAAAGCAAGGTCAAATATATATTATATTTCAATATATCAACATCAAATAATTAAACAGTAAAATTTTAAAACAACATCATTTTAGTAGCACCAGAGGCATAAAATATCTGTGAATTAATTTAATAAAAATAAGCAATACAGAATAAATATAAAACATAACTGAGGAACATTAAAAAAGAAATAAACTGAAGGATTTACACTACCTGGCGTCGAGGCTTATGATAAATCTAAATTAACTGCAGCAATGTGTCACAAGTAGATAACAGACCCATGGAACAAGAACAAAGAGAGCAAAAGCAGACTCACATATAGGGAAACACCTAATTTAAGACAAAGGTGACACCGCAATGCAGATGGGAGATGTGGAATTTTCAAAAAATGTTACAGCATCAATTAGATGTCCACATATTTATATATATAAACATATAAAATATATATTAAGGTATATATTAAACATACACACACATATCTTTTTATAACAGGACACAGCACTAATCCCCAAAAAGACTAAGAAATTAGACTTTGTTAAGGTTAAAGATTTCTGCTCTACAAAATAAATTATTAAGAAAGTGACAAGCTTGTTACAACCAGCCAATATCCAACAACTGTTACTGCAGGGTTGTATCTGCTTGTTCCATTACCAGACCTCGTGACAGGGCATTTAATGGAAAAATCAAGACCATCATTAAATCATGCCATCCTTGGGATGAAATCAGTCAATTCAAGAAACAAAGCTGGTCAAGTTTTAGGAGTTTTGGTTTTAATTTACCAAAAGGCAAAATTACCTGGCTTAAGCATTAATTCAGGAAAGGAAATGAAACTTTTTTTGCCAGGAACCTGATAACTGTGATATTTACCAAGTGTTGTGAGCTAATGAGTATCAGCCATTCTCATAATGGATCTTCCTTAAACAACATTAAATTATCCTTTTCATGTTAAAAAAAAAAAGTGACAAGCCACAGAGTAGGAAAAGATATCTATCTATCTATCTATCTATCTATCTATCTATCTATCTATCTTCAGCAAAGGAATCACAGATAAAGAACACAGATAAAGAAATCCCACAAATAAATATTTTAAAAAGGCAGACAGTAAAATGGAAAAAAGGTCTCAAGTCTTGAATGTGAACTTTACTAAAAATCATTTCAAAATGGCCAAAAGACATATGAAAAGGTATTCAACTTCATGACTGATCACAATAGCCCAACTCAAAACTGTGCTGAGATGTCACTACTAGGAGAGCTAAAAATCTTTTCACTGACAATAAGGAATGTTGATGCGACTGTTAGGAACATTGTTTGACAATACCTATTAAAGAAAAAATAGATGTATCAGATGGCCCAGAAGAGTCATACATACAATCACTAAAGAAAAAATATAAATGTTTATAGCAGCACTACTTATAGAAGCCTCAAGCTGGAAACAGCACAAAAGCCACCAACCTAAGCACGCATAAACGGAGGTTTCATCACACAGTGAAAGACTTAGCTGCTAAAGTGAGGCCCACAAAATGTTGCTGCAAGGAAATGGATGACTCCCACAGCATCACGAGGAGTAAAAGACACTAAAGGTAAAAGATTACAACACCAGGGGCTGGCGCCGTGGCTCACTTGGTTAATCCTCCGCCTGCGGTGCTGGCATCCCATATGGGCATCGGGTTCTAGTCCCAATTGCTCCTCTTCCAGTCCAGCTCTCTGCTGTGCCTCGGGAGTGCGGTGGAGGATGGCCCAAGTGCTTGGGCCCTGCACCCGCATGGGAGACCAGGAGGAAGCACCTGGCTCCTGACTTTGGATCCGCGCAGTGCCGGCCATAGTGGCCACTTGGGGAGTGAACCAACAACCAACAGAAGGAAGACCCCCCCCCCTCTCTCTCTCACTGTCTAACTTTATCTGTCAAATAAATAAACAAACATCATTTGATAAAAAAAAAAAAGATTACAATACCAGAACGCATGCATTAGTTTTTAGAAGTTCAAACCCAAGAAAAACTAACCTATGATGACAGAAGTCAGGTTACTGGGTTTCTCCCCAGGGTGATGTCTTTGGAGGGGAAGGGTCTCTAAGCTGCTGGACAGGTCTTGGCTGCCGGTCCCAAGTGTCCATCCTGTTTCTGCAGAGTCACCAAGATTGAAGCACCCTTCTCTGTAGACATTATGTGCCACTAGAAAGCTCACTTAAAAAAAAAAAAAAAAAAAACATGGCCATGCCAGATATCTGTATAGTTGGGTTCTCGGGTAATGAGAATCTCTAAAATACTCAGTATTTCTGCTAGTTGAGAGGACAAGATTAAAGCACAAGAAAAATATAAATAGGGGAGGGAGAGCCAGAATCTGGGTGCAAACTGGACAGGAATTCACGGGGGTACTAATGAGCATGCCTTTCCAGCCTTCTGTGTGGGAGCCCACTCTTTAAAGGTGTGCCCCATCATTTAACGTGAGAATTATAAATGTAACTAACCTATAGTCCAAAGTGCCTTTTAAATCCTCTAATAATGGAAAATCCAATATCATGTGGACAGCATTACACAAAGAATAATTTTACATTATAAATTGAGGAAAATTCATCAACTGTTTGGTTCTAATAGCTCCATTTTTTTACTGATATCTTCCTAAGGCTGTTATCTTGGCAGCACAGTATACCAATTCAGGGGCCATTCAACCATGTTGACTTTTTTATAAAATTATAACAAGATTAATTTTTCAATTTCCCCTACACAGAGCCATATATCGCACATAAGCTCTAATATTGATTTCTTAAGTCAAATAAGCATTCTTTTTCTCTAACCTGTTACTTCCCTTGGGATGTGAATAAAATTGCTCTATTTATGCTGATATATATCTACGTTGCTTCAACGTTGCTGCAGAGACCCTGTGTATCTCAATGCTACTGCAAGATGTTAGAGTTGAAGATCAGATTTAATCATGCTAGCTGTGATGAAGGATGTCATTATTAATGACTGCAACACCAACTGCAAATAAGAACATGGCAAGAATTATACCATGTTCAGAAAAAATTCATGATTCTCTCGTCAAACTTTACAGACAGCTAACTGGTGTCCTGAGCTGGGAACAGGCTCACAAGGATGGATGAGACCATAATGAAGAGGCAACCTGGCTCTCAGCACATTCATGGGCCAGGGGAAGCAAGGGCATGACAACAGGTGGCTCTATTCGCATGTGATGCACACCACGGCCACATCAGCCCCTGGGAGTGGAGAAGGGCATGAGCTCCATGCAGGGAGTCTCCGGACAGATCTTACAGAAGAGATTGCTGCCACTGAGTCTTAGCAAAGTGATGGGAATGAGCAGCGTATTCGAGGCACCTGCCACCAAGAAAGTCTAAAACATTCTGCATACCCAGAGTGGAAGATGAGAAGATACTGAAGGGATTTCATCAGAAGGGTATTGTGTTTCAAGAGCATCATTCTGGGGGCCAGCATTGTGATGCAGTGGGTTGAGCTGCCACCAGCAATGCCAAGGCAGCATCTGGTTTGAGTTGCAGATGCTCCACTTCCAATCCAGCTCCCTGCTAACAGGCTGTGAAAGCAGCAGAAGATGGTCCAAGTATTTGAGACCCTGACAGTCACGTAGGAGACACAGATGGAGTTCCTGGCTCCTGGCTTCAGCCTGATCCAGCCCTGCCCATTGCAGCCATTTGGGCAGTGAACCAACAAATGGAAGATCTCTCTCTCTCTCTCTCTCTCTCTCTTTCTCCTCCCCCTTTCTCCCTTCCTCCATCTCTGTAACGCTGCCTTTCCAATAAATAAGTCAATCTGTTTTTAAAATTGCTTTGTTTATTTCAGGGCCGGCACTGTAGCACAGCGGGTTAAAGCCCTGGCCTGAAGCACTGGCATCCCATATGGGTGCCAGTTCTTGTCCCGGCTGCTCTTCTGATCCAGCTCTCTGCTATGGCCTGGAATAGCAGTAGAAGAAGGCCCGGGTTCTTGGGCCCTTGCACTCACGTGGGAGACCCGGAAGAAGCTCCTGGTTACTGGCTTCAGATCGGCACAGCTCTGGCCATTGCAGCCATCTGTGGGAGGAAACTAGCGGATAGAAGACCTCTCTCTGTGTCTCTACCTCTCTGTGTAACTCTGTCTTTCAAATAAATAAAATAAATCTTTAAAAATAAATAAATAAAGCTGCTGTAAACATTAAAAAAATTTTATTTATACCAGGTGAAAAAATGTCATGTATTTTGTCGCTCCCCCTCTTCGTGGAGGAACGACACAGGACCCTGCGCTGTTCTTTTGTCTGCTCGGCCCTCCCTGGGTTTGCTGCTGGTCCTTCCCGGGTTGGCTACCGTCCCTTCCACCTCCGTGGAAGGGCGGTTCCCCCTGCCACTTTCCCCACTTCCGCGGGGGAGCGGCACACCGCCGGCCAGCTCTCTCGGGGACTGCTCAGGTGTTCCTGCAGCTAGATGTTCCTGGTGCATGTTGTCTCTCTCCTCCTTTATAGTCCTCTTCCACCAATCCCAACTCTGCTACCCACACGCCGAGTACGCCGAGTACACTGCTCTCCTCCAATCAGGAGCGGGATCAGCTCCTGCAGGTTACTGGTTGAACTGGAGGCAGCTGTGTAAAAGTTGTTTTTACTCCTCTCCCAGCGCCATATTGTGGGAGAGCAGATGCATAGAATAAGTCTTAATTCGAGTAACTTAGTCTAGTCCGAGTTGCTCCCCACAGTATTTCATATACACAGATTTAAGAGTAAAATGACACTTCCCACCCATGCTCCTCCTTTCTTCCTTATTTTTTTCTTTTAAATTTTACAATAACATTACTTTCAGCTTATTTTATAATTACAAGCAATCCTTCACTAAGTAAAGAATTCAACAAATAGTAAGTTGAAAAACTACTGTTCCTCAAGAGTATAGACAAGGGATGTAAACAATAATCAAATCTCAAAATGTCAATTTCACTCATATACATTATAGTTTTTGTACTCTGTATATTTGTTATCAAAAATATATGATATCTGTTTTTTTGGGACTGGATTATTTCACTGAGCATAATGACTTCCAGTTGCATCCATTTTGTTGCAAAAGACAGAATATCATTCTTTCTTATGGCATTCCTGGCTCCTGGCTGCAGCCTAGCTCAGTCTCACCCTTTGCTGCCATTTGGGCAGTGAACCAAGATGGAAAATCTCACACTCCCTCTGTCTTTCCTTCTGTCTCTGTAACTCTGCTTTTCCAATAAATAAGTCCATCTTAAAAATAAAAATCACTCTATCACTCTGACCTAGCCATGAAGGACAGGGAGAGGTCACAGAGCGACTAGAAGGCAGACTCCAGAGGTCTGCATGAAAAAGAAGGAATTTACATCACAGGTAGCTAAGCAGGGCCAGATGCAAGAGACCCTGAGAAAATAAAATCAATGAAAATAAGCTTCAACAGAGTATGGAGAACAAGGGTGATGGGAAAGTCTAGAATGCCTCTGATGTTTATAGGCTTACAATGGTAGAGGGGTGACACGGAGTACAACAGAAAGGAATGGGGCAGGGACTGAGAACACCCTGACTTATCGCCTCAAGATGGAAACCTAAAACTCCTCTCTCCTCTGCCCCCTTCCCACCAACACAGATCACACTCAGAGGAAGGCTGAGCACACAGGGGGAACCCAGGGCTTGGAGAACATTATTTTAAAATAGGAATGTGGGTATATATGAAAAATCAAGGGAGAAACTTCAAGTAGTCAGAAATGGGGGAGGTGGGGTCTTAATCTAAGAAAGCAGCTGAGCCCAGAGACAATGGTGCAAGCCACATCCATGAAGAAGCTGCTGGGGATGTGCCAAGGGCCTTTTAGTGAGGGAAGCATAATAATGTGCAACTAAAACCTCTCAGTCGCTTTTAGGAAAAGTCTCATTTGAGTCCTCATTCATAAGAGGAATGGCCTTTAGAGTGTCAGCAATGGGATTTTCCGTGTTTTGATTTCTAGAAGAGTGCCTGATAGCTTTGGAGCTAATTTGGGAAAGGACACAAAAATAACATTATGAGGATAAACCATCAAGGAAAAGACCCTCCCCCAACACACACACACACACACACACACACACACAGCAATTCTCCACTACTCAATAAGAAAGTTTATGAACAATCCCTCCCCTCTTCAGGTCATACTAAATTAAATTAACATTCTAATTTGAAGAGATAATTAACATTTTAACTACTCTTGGTCTAAAATGTGCTAGGGATTTAAATGGTAAAACTGGTCCTAGTTTTGTTTCCTTTTTTCTTCTGTTTGCTTTGTTTTTCAAATTCTAGGCCCAGAACTTCCTCTCTCAGATAAATATTAATTCCCAGCCTCAGCAATCAGATTTAACCCCCCTCCCCTGCGCTCTCCAAGTCTTTCACAGATACCACACTCTGCCTCCTGCTACACTCTACTTGACCCAAAAGCACTTTTGAATCTCCAACTCAATTTTCAGCCCCAAGAGGAGGAAACCATGTGGGTCTCTTTCCCCCAGCCATTTTTATGCCTCTCCTCTGGGAGAATACTTGCCATGTGGTAGAGTTTAGGAGGAAAGAGATCACCCTAGGCTAACGGGCATGGAGGAGACTGAATGCTAAGGGTCATTTTTAGTTTTTTAAATTTTTATTAGAACAAGAAGTAGTTCTGTCTACACTGCTATTCTTCTTCTCTTCTCCTTCTATTATTTTCTAACCCTACTTCTTTAACCTCTTATCATTTCTCCAACAGACATCTTGGCTTTTGGCTTCAGACCAGAGGGGCAACTGAGTCACAGAAGAGGGAGGGAGGAGCAATAAGGAGGCAGCTACTAAGGGAAACACGGATCAAAGTCCCCTGACTCAAATCCAGGCTCCCACTCCAGGTACTTAAGTCTCTCACGTCTGACTTAGCGACCAGTCTAAGCAAATTCCTCTCTCCTTCCCTAGGTAATACGACTCACAAATACCCTCCTTAAGCACTTCCTACTTTCCAAAAGTGTTTTCTCATTCATTTTCATTAGTGTTCCGTTATAATAAAAATGCTAAATAACCACAATCATGCTTCCAAATTATAACCTCAGGGTGAACCTGGGAATAAAGTCTAAAGAGAATTTGATTATTCTCCCAACTAACTTCTGTGAATTAAACAGGCATCTTTCTTAGGACTGAGCAACTGCCTTATATCCATCTACCCACTGGAGAAATGTCACTCCTTCATCTTTCTAG